ATCACAGCACAGAGACAGCTCTGCTTAAAGTTAATAACAAACTAATTGCTTCTGACAATGGACAAGGACCCGGATGATGAAGAATGTTGCATCACATTATATTTTTTCACACCCAAGTCATCTTTCCCAGGCTCAGTGGCATTAGTGTCTCACTTCTCAGTTGGTTTAAACTTTCCAGACAGTCACATTCAAACTTCACTGAATATAAACTATACGCAAAAAGTTTGAAAGCAGGAATTACAATTCACACAAACACACACACACCAGCAATGACTGCTCTGGCCCAAAAACAAACATTTTAAACAAAATACAGGTATTCTGAACCTCTCTTGTGTCAAAATAAAATAGTAGTGGCCCAGTGTTCTTAAGTACTACACAGCCATCTGAAAGCCAAACAGCTTTTCATCTCAGCTTGTCTGAGTGTAGATGACGAAATGGCAGGCCAAGACACAGAGGGAAGATAAGGGGGAAAAAAATAAATCAAACATTATTCTCTTTGAAAGCTTCCAAGCAGTCAAATGTGTTGGAGCTTTCAGCTCAGAGCCTTTCAAAGTGAAATTGTAATTGTGCGGAAAGATAAACGTGTGTTGCTGTTTTTTCTCCCTCAGCAGAGCTCGGCAGTGGGGTGGGGTCTCCTCTCTGGCTCACTGAAATGTGAAAGGGGCTTTTTGGGAGCTCTGAAGTCTGCCGGTGTTGTCTTCTTCTCTCGTGTGTGAAATTGCGAAGGCGTTCTACGGCATACACTCCACTATCCCCAGCTATCACAGAATGGCAATGGAGGCAGTGGGAGGAGATGAGCAGAGTGATGAGAGAGGGGTGTGTGTGTGTGTGTGTGTGTGTGTGTGTGTGTGTGTGTGTGTGTGTGTGTGTGTGTGTGTTTAATATGGAAATATACTACTAGTAAGGTTCTAGGTACCATAAAGGGTTTCGTTTAAATGAATAAGATATGAAAAAATTTACGCTTTAAAAAAGCATCGCCGTTAATACTGAACAGTGAGCCTAAAGAAAGGCTGAATGCTGTTGTCATACATTTTCATTTCAAATGCCTCAACAACAACTTGTAATGGCCAGAGGCAAAGTCTGCTCAGTGCTGCAGTCGAGACTATAGCCTTAACTGTGAAGTCATCCATATTACCGCTCTGTTTCACACCTCTGTTTTAGCAGCAGTTCTTAACTGTCTCATTAGTCAAACAGATGTTTTTGAAGCACTGAGTCACAAATATGGAACATCTCATTTCCATATTTGTGACTCATTTCTTTATGACTCCATTGACACTTGTATTAGTTATATTGTGACTCTTGATTTAATGAGATCCTCTTTCTTGCATTTCAGCAAAGCTAGCATATGCACATGGTTTATAAAAATGTAAAATATTCTCACCTGGCCTTGATGTAAAAAAAAAGACGACTCTCCTTTGACTGTAGGTGTCTGGATCTCTTGTACTCCCAAATCACCTGACAAATGACAAGGACAAAGAAGAAAGAAGTTAAATATTGTCAATTCATCAACCTCAGACTGTGTCATTTTGGCTAAATAAAGTTTATTATGTTCAGAATAATAAAGGAATGTGATGATGCAGCAATATATTTCAAATACCTCGAGTGAGTGAAGGGCCAGATTTGCATTCGAAAAAAACAATGTCACTGCAAATGATAAAATCTTTAACAATAAAGTGTGGATGGCATCTTCTTCTAATTTCTTTCCATTATAGTCTTTTTCTATGTCTAATCACGTTAAGTAGTAGTTAGTATGTGGTGCTGTTGAATTGTATTGTTTTATACGGACAGATATTCTTAATATTTTGTCCACCCTATTTTTATCAATGAGGGCAGACTAAATTCCTGGAAAACAGACTCCCATTTTTTCTTGCTAAGTTGTTAGCTTGAGAATGTAGAATGAAGTTTTCCACACTTTTATGTGATACATGTCAGTGAACATGTTAACACACTGCCCAAACAGCCCTTACTCCATCCCACTGGATCAACAGCTATGACGATTTCTATGCAGAGCAGAAGCGATATGAGTGATGGGAAATGGAGGAGGGGGACAGGATGGATATTTAGAGGAGTGAGGGACTAAGGATAAGTGCCACTTAGGGTTCCAGGTCCACAGTGTGCTACAATGACACAAATAGCTATGGCCTTCTTACATCCACTGTGTGCAAGCTTGTGTGTGTTTCCACTGTAACCCACAGCAACACAGTTACCAGTGCATTGAGAATATGCAGGAAGAGGCAGTTCGCCTCAACATCACGTGTATGATTACCTCTTCTGCTCAGCGATGCAGTTTAATCAAAGCCACAAACCACCCCAGAAAGAAAACAATACCTGTTTACCCCTCGCACACATAAACACTTCCTTGCCTTCCCCCTACTGTGTTTCAGGCGTCCAACCCTCAGTTTCCCCTCGTCTCTACGTTCATGGTGCAATGGGATACGTTTCACTCTATTATACATCGAGATGCCTTTATCGAGTGAAAACAAATAAATCGATGAAGAATACACATGAATGTTAATTAGCAAATACAGTATTAATTCACAAGAAACGTACAACAGTTTGACACAATAACAAGATTAATCCAGTACAATAAGCATGCATTATAAACTACCTTTGTGGATCTTAAATCTCATCTTTTGTTGATGTAAAGCGTTTTGTTATTGTACTGTTTTCTATAACAGAGACACCGTTCCTGTTATTTTGGCAATGCCAGTTCAATCACTGTTAAAATAAACTTTAAAGTACTGCTATATACAAACAAATCCCATATGAACTACTGAACTACTGTGCTCTTCATCATCACGCTTTACACCATTCGTGCACAGTGGTATCTGGGTCGCGTGAGGTCTGATGAATCAGGTCCACCCATACAGCCAACTGCACTTGTGACGTGCTGATTTATTATTTATGGAAAGCAGAGAGGATTTTGGGAGGGTGGGGGTTGGTCGGTTGGTTGGTAGATAGATAGATTTTCCCTGCAGGGCTGTTTTTTTATAGACTGGTAATAGTGACGTAACTACGTTATCTCACAGTAATCTATAAGATCTTTGAGTTATGCGTGTTTGAGATGTCACTTTTCTGTTTCACTTTTAGCCAACAACATATTCACATGGAGGGCTGTGAGCATTAAGTATTTTACTGCTCAGATACAGAACAAACATGTTCCACTAGTGACTGTAAGGTTCTTTTGAATCAAACAGACATTATATTGTTTTGGCTTCTGCAGCCCTATTTTACAGTATGTGATTTGTGCACAAGGTGCAGGTTCAGTTTATACTGTTAAGATGGTAGGATATTGTTCCATGCACATTTTTTTGTTCCATGTCATTCTGCTGGGGGAACCCCATAAAATAACAAGCACATTTTGCTCAAGCTGTCCACCCATCCATAAGACAGACAGGTGGCTGCTAAATGGACTGATGAGGCACAACATACGTTCAAACACTTCCTGTACCACAAATTTTGTGTGCATAAAATGTCAGTTCCAACCTCCACGCACGCGACCTCTATAAATAAAGGTCAAAATCTTGATCTCACTGGTCTGATTTTCCAAAACATTTGACTGTAGGATGACTTTTATACAATGTTCTGGTCTAAGCAATACTATAATTGGCTGAACTGGAGAGGTATTAAGATCAATTTTTTAAACATCGAAAAGCCACAACTGCTGCTCTGCTTGTCTAATTTGAATCAAACTGCAGGTATAAAGCATCTCATTACTAAAGCGAGGAGTGACTGTTTCTTGTTGCCTGCTGCTGTTTAATATGTTTTGTTTGTTTTGATTTTAGGAAAAAATCTGTGGAGCTAAACAAAGGTTGTTGTTTTTGCTTTGCACTTCATTGAATGACTTGTCAAACAGTTTGTCTGGATTTTCTATTGCAGTTAAGAGTATGTGGTGTTCTTGTTTTCTACATGTTAAGCCACAGTGCCCATCATTGCTGTTGCCACATACACACTTCCTGTCTTCAATCCCACTGATGTCTTCATAAACAGACAGCCATACAGATCACTGCTGTTAACTCTGAGTCAAGTGTAATGGATATTTACATATGAAAATACCAATGATTATTACAGTAGCTTAAAGTAAACCCAACCCAAAATAGGCACAAATTTAGTAGCAAAAAGCTAATGGGCTAATCTTTGCAGTGCTCGCCTGACAAACACGTCTCTTTTTCAGAAAACACCTTGGCACTTGCTGACATTTACTTACTTGGTCTCACACCTTGTTAACTCTTGGGTCTCTCCAGAAGACAATAAATAAGTAAACAGTGAAGAACACACACATGCACTCAGACACACACAGACTGAACAAGGGTCCTCCTAAATGAAAGGTTCCAATCCATTTGCTATAGCCCTTCAGTGCCTAAAAATAAGCAACTGAAACTAACCAAGCCGCAGGCACCATCTTTAAAGAATACATTTCAGGCTCCTCATTCAGAGATTTGGCAGAAGGTGTGTGTGTGTGTGTGGAGGGGAGGTGGTCCAATCCGAGGTGAAGTAAGGATTGAATTGGGGTGTTGTGTGTGTGTGTGTGTGTGGGTGTTGGGTGGTGTGTGTGTGTGGGAAGACTAGGCAAAAAAGATAGCCAGATACTGAAATTAAAAAAAAAAAAAAGGGAGTTGAGCATTAGTTCGGGCCACGTGCTAACACCAGGTGTACCTGTCAATTAGTTATTCACATTTGAAGCTAAATTAAAACCAACAAAGATCAGAAGCAGAAATTTCTAAGCACAGCTAACATCATTTTCATCATGCCAAGCTCAGAAATTCTTCACAAAATGCTCAGCCCTCGCCAAGGTTATATATAAGTAGCCAGCCAAGACAGAGGCCAAGGGGGTAGCTATTAAATGTCAGCTGACATACAAAATAGCCCCGGGGGGGGATTCTCTGAATTACAATTAAGACGTTTTGTGCATCAATGCTAAACTATCTCAACAGCAGAATTGCAAGCGTGTTTAAAAAAGTGATTACTTTCTCCCACCCTTCTTGTCAGTGCTTTTGTATCTGTATTGCATAGCTGCGAAGCTGACCTCTGCCAGTGAGGTGGCAGTGTTAAAAATAAAAACAATAATCGGTGAAATTAATGGCTTCATATGAGCACTGCTCAACCCCATTTTCTGGTTTAATCCATTCTAATCACATTAATAGAGCAAACATGTCATAAAAATATTTAAAACACATTCGAGGCAAATGCTCGTCAGCTTCACTCAGACAGCACGCAATGGAGCCACCTGCGTCCTCTGCAAGAGCCACCTCCGCACCACCACCAAGAGCCCTCTAATCTGTGGCCAATCAGATGACGCTAAACAGCCCATTTCGTTGGTTGAACTGGGCCACCAGTACACGCCTCCCCTCCTCATCTTCAACATACCACTGCAGACCCCAACAAACATGCTGGCGATGGTAGCCCAAAAGCAGACGCAGCCAGGTGAGGGTGACAAATTAACAGAGTGGTGACCATAATAGGAGAAAAGAACTGCGGTGTAATTAGCCATGTTGGCCCTTGGGGGCTGATGTACTGGTGAGAGAGCAAAGAAAGGAATGAAGACGAGTTGTGCTTGAGAGGAGAGAGATGGGAGGAAAGAGATACACAGCGGTAAGCATGAGAAATTAAGTTAATTACAAGTGTAGGAGAGGTTTAAGGAAGGAACGGTTCTTGGAAGGGCAGGAGAAAACCAGGAAGCAAACACAACTGGGATCGAGGAATACAGAAACGTGAGGGGGCAAACCAAACCCCAGCCCTGTCATCAAAATAAAAGATAAATTATATTCTGGTAAACGCGAAGCAGGAACTTTGTCGTACTCACAGATTATAATGACCCATTGATGCATCACAAAATACTGGTACAACAAAAGTTGCAGAAATGAAGAATGTTTTTTTTTAAAAGGGCCATGGAGAAACAGAAATCATAGACGATAATTACACGGTTTCCGGCAGCAGTTTCATCTCAGCATGTCTCACTAGCTCCGGTTTCAATTCCTGTACTGCCAAAGCTTCGTTTTTATACACTGGTAACACAGGGTATATTTTCCAGTCATATTGAAAGTCCACAGGGGAGTAAATTAAGATGTTTACTGTTACCTATTGGCCTCACAGCACAGGGGTAAATTATTTCAGTCACAGGGGGAGAAAAGCAATGGACTACAGGCTATGAGGAAAAAGAGGCTGCAGATTTCCAAAATGGCGCAGCTCTCCCGGTGGGCAACATGATAAGAGCCTTGCCCAGTAAGGAGAGAGTAGGAATGATGAACTGAGCAGTCAGCTCACTCTTTATGCTATATTGAAGACAGTATAGCCTGGATTAGACGACAGATACTCCACTCCGTAGGAGAAATAAAACATTGACAAATAAGGAAGGGAAATGTGGATGAAGCCCACAAAGAGGATTCTACAGTTCCCACCTGCTTTCTCAATGCTTAACAGTGCATCCACATAAGACGGGGTTAAAATTAGAAGGC